TCTCTGAGTTTATGCTGCTGCTTTGGATGGTGCAGTGGGTAAGAAATACAAATGAGACCTCGAACAAAATCAACAGCATCATCTGGCTCAGTATGACACATTACAGAAGCAGCTGCTCTTGAGCCCATCGAACGACCTAAAATCAATTAAACTCAATTAGAAATATAAACATTTACATACAATAGTAGTGGTGGTATGGTAAAATTAGATTTACCACTCATATTTATGGAGGAAAAAAAAAATCACAACTCAAAAAAGTGTTAACCAACAAATTCTAGTCGTCTTAATGGAAACCTACAGTTTTATTTTATTTATTTTTTTTTTTTTACCTACAGTTTTATTAAAAGCTAAAAACTGATCTGGCTTAAGCCAAATTTTAAAAAGAAGCAATTCTTTTTCTCAATACTTAAAAGAGTGAAGAAATTATTTTTCAATGAATCAACTTTAAGAGTAATAAAATGCTATAAAAGGAACCTTATAAAACACAAATGCTTTAAATCTGCTTTAAGCATATAAAATACTTTATAATAAAGTATCAAAGTTATATATCAAAATAAAATAACTATTAACTTCTTGTTATCAGTTTTAATATTATAATTTATACTTACCTCCAAGAAAAACACCAGCAAGTTTGTATTCTCCTGAGGTCTTCAGGTAACTCTAGGTAAATCAACCAAAAAGAAATTATCGCCTCTTCTCATATCATATGCCACCAGACAGTCTTACCATTACTGATATATAAAAGAATTTATGTGAAGACAACTGTATAAATTTTACAGATTTTTTTCCTCTCTGGGTCATATATTCACTATTAATACTTATGTTGGTTAATATGTCAGGGAAAAAATTAATTTGCCTTTAAAAAAATATTCAAACAGTATACTATTGGGATACTATCTGGGAATGGAGTCGTGTGAGAATTCTGAGTGCTTGTGAGAAAACAAAACAAGAGTCGTGTGACATCAGTTTCTTCAAAACAGAATTGTTCTTGAAATGTGTTTTTATGCTTCTCCTAGGTATAACAGATAGGAGTGGGTTTATTTAAGCAATTATTCATGTACCTCTACAGAAAAACATGCTCTTGCCATGTATAGCTTGTCCTGGTAATTGAACTCCTTATTCATGTGATTCTTCTTAACCCTCAAACTATAAACTGCCTGATGCTCTAAATAAAGTTGGTTATTGCATGAGACATTAGTCTGCCTAATTTATCAGCTCCTAGTTCCCACTGCCTCTAGAGTGGTAAATGGCACCAGGGACCTGAAGTCAGCTATGAGGTAAGAGAGTGGAGACCCTCACAGAAGGAGATAGTATAACAGGCAGAAACCAGGGAAAGCTTTGCCTTATGTCGAAGAGCCTGTGCTTAATTTCTTAAAGAAAGGAGAAGCCTAAGTATCAAAATCACAATTACTAGATTTCTTGCAAGTTGTTTATGATCATAATCCCTGATTTCCAGGAGGAGGAACTGTAGATGAAGTATGGGAGAGTCTAAAAGAATACTGAAAAAGCATATAAACAGGGAGGAAAGATCCTTTTTCAATTTTGAGTCACTTGGGCATTGATTCAAATTGTTACTACAATACTTAAGGACGATAAGGAGGGTATTTAATCATGACAAAGAGATGGCTGATGCCTTGAATTGATATAAACTGGATGACTAAACCTTAAAATTGACAAAAGAGGAGAAAAGAAGGAGGTTTTCCTTGTGGAAGTGAAATCGAAAATTATAAAATGGCACGAACTAGGCCAGTGAGGGTTCCCTCAGCTCCCTTACTGCAGTATCCTTTAGATACATATCCTCCATTGCCTGAAAACTACAACTTAAGCAAGCTAGGGAAAAAGTACCTCATGTACCCATCTCTCTTTGGCCACATAAGTTGCGCTTGTTATTTCCAGTGCAACTTCAGCAAAATTAAAATGTTTTATTAATTATGCACTAACAAATCTATTTAAAATTCTAGAACAAAAGACAGTGTTGGACAGTCCTTTCACATTATTTTGAGTGGCAAAGGAAACACTATTTGAATCCAGACTAAAAGAACCATTTGTGTATTAAGTGTAACCTTTGCTGCCTTTAACTTATTTCCCTCACTAAATTGTCTCGTACAGGTATTATAGCACAGAGAATAAACCTCTGGAATGGATTTATTTACACAGTAAAGGCCATAAGATACTGCTTACCTTACTGTCCTTGCTCAATTAATAAATAAGAGAAAGACCCGATGTCAGCAATTAATCATATGGGTCTCTTTTTTCAAGCTATTTGCTAGAATTCTCTGATCAATATAATAATTAATAGTACCAGACTTAGTTTGGATCTCTTTTCTTAGTGGTCAAGTATTACTTAGTATTATAATTTGCTTGCATATAGGATACTCACTAATTAAATGACTAATTAGATTTATCTAAAACATTTCAAATCAAAACCATTCTGGACATCCTACTATTAAAAAATAAAACAGGGAAATGTCAGAACACAGTTCAAGGATTGAGTCATGTGACAATTCTGAGTGCCTGTGAGAAAACTCCAGGACAACAAGGTAAGACTAGAGTTTCTTCAAAAACTGTTGGAATGTGTTTTATGCATTACTCCCAAGTGTGGAAGATAGATGTGAGATTACTTCAGCTTTTGTTATTCATATACCTCGATGAAAAACAGATTTTTAGCCGGGCGGTGGTGGCGCACGCCTTTAATCCCAGCACTTGGGAATCAGAGACAGACGGATTTCTGAGTTCGAGGCTAGCCTGGTCTACAGAGTGAGTTCCAGGACAGCTAAAACTACACAGAGAAACTCTGTCTTGAAAAACCAAAACAACAACAACAACAACAACAAAAAACGGATTTTTGCCACATGTGGTTTGTCTTTGTTATTGAATAGCATACTCATGTGATGCTTCTTAACTCTTAAAAGTATAAACTTAAGAGTATATACTATAAATAAAGCTGGTTATTGCATAAGATTTTAGTCTGCCTCATTTTTAGGTCCCATTCTTCCAGGTTCATGCCACCAAATAAGATATAAACAGTAAACCTGATAAAGGAAAAATTATTTTCTTAAAGCTAGAAATTTCAAATTTGATGAAAATAGCATCCAATGTAAATAATTTAAAAGAAATTCAGCATTGTCCTTTTTCCAGGACTTTTAATTCATGCTTATAAACAACATAAAAAGATGGTATATTTGTTATATGCATATTATAGTCCATTTACACCTCTAGCTTGCCAAAGCTATATTCTAAATATAGTTAATTATTTCAGTGAGTTTCTTGAGCAGCAGCATGAAAGAACCCTTACAATGTCAACATTCATCTCCATGAAAACAAACTGATTACAGAAAAAGAGACATATGAACATTAAATAACCTCCAGGTACTGCCAAGTTTCCAAGGATACTCATTAAGGTATTTTTATCTAAATGTTAAATAAGACAACAAGGTATCTTAAATTTATGAAGAATTTTAATCAGAACCTGATTATAGGTAAATGTATTTTTTCTTACCAAAACTGCTTTATATGCCTTAATTCTATGTACAATATTAAGGCCTTTGCAAGTAAATCTCAGGCAAAAAAACCCGTGAGATGCAAGATGGGATGCCAGTGACATCAAATGAGGAAGATTCATATCTCCTGATGCTCCATGTGTAAGAATTATTCCATATGCTATGTTCTTGTTAGGTACCAAACAAACGGCATCCAGTAATTTACTTCCAAAAGGTATTTTTAATTTAACCTAAAATTCGAGAGAATAAAAGTATCAAATTATTTCCTTGACTATTTAAACACCTGAATAAATATACATATTGTTTTGTAAGACTTAAGACTGAATGCATGGCCTCTATACAAGTCATATTTACAGTATTTAAGAAATATTTCCTGTCATGTGCTTTAAGTGCTAGTGTATTAACTCATGTATGTATTCCTTATAATTCTATGAGGCAATTACTATTATTCCTACTTTACAGATAAGACATAGCAGATTAAGTAATTTGCTTGGTTACATAGCTATTAGCTAAGAATCAAGTCAGGTTCTTGTCCTGGAATCGTTACTCTGCAATTCTAATTCTATTCTGCCTCTTCTGTGCAAACTGAAAACAAGGCTATTATACAGAAATGATGATTAACCCATTCTCCTACCTCCCAGAAGTTAACCAGAAAATACTTTATATATGAAAATATCTTACCTCTGTATGACTCATTTTCACTGTTGAAAAATAAACATAAGGTGCATTACATCTGAGAAGCAAAGGGCATCCCCCTGAAAAGAAGATTCTGTTGTAAAAGGTCAGTTGTGAGACATGGATATGACCCAAAAACTATGAATGAGCACATTCAAAAGCTGAAATAAACACAATTAGAAATTAGCTCTTTACACACTTGTATCTCTGTACATATTTATTACTCAATCATATGTTACTTTCAAGATTTTTATAAGCACTCAAAACTAATTACAGGAGCTATAAGATAAAGCAAATTTGATACTTTGACATAGAGGCCTTAAAGTAGTTATTACAAAACAAGATGCTGTACCTTTAGAAAAATATTTTTGAAATATATTTGTAAGAATCTTCATTCTTGCCGGGCGGTGGTGGCGCACGCCTTTAATCTCAGCACTTGGGAGGCAGAGACAGGCGGATTTCTGAGTTCGAGGCCAGCCTTGTCTACAGAGTGAGTTCCAGGACAGCCAGGGCTACACAGAAAAACCAAAAAAAAAAAAAAAAAAAAAAAAAAAAAATCGGATCTTCATTCTTTACCACCCCAACTTAATTTGAATATATCTACTAAATAATTTTTTCATCATTCCTTTTTTGATACAGTCTCAACAATTTTCAATTCAACTTCCCTTAAGATATTAAATCATTTTCACCATTTCATTTTCTCTCTTTCATGTAACAGAAGTCCTTGTCATGTGATTCTATTGACTCTGGGTTTGGCTCCTGGAACATTCCAAAGTGCTATTTCTGAGTTAAGCTATGGCAGATTCCAAGAAATTTGAACTGATTTTCACTGTGACCCACAGAGAAAATCTATCCCAGGATTTTTTTTCATTTTCAACCAGAATCCCACAATAGAGTTTCAGAAAAATTTAAAGCCAAATTAAAGCCTAGAACCCAGTCTAAGTCACAATTGAGCTGAAGAACCATAAGCAATAAAAGCCACTATAATTTTTGTGATCCCTTTTTACTGTGAGAGCTTTCATTTTTCAGAATATCACTGGCATGAGAATTTTTTTTAAAGATATATTTATTTTTATGTGAGTACACTGTGGCTGTCTTCAGACACACCAGAAGAGGGCATCAGGTCTCATTACAGATGGTTGTGAACCATGTGGTTGCTGGGAATTGAACTCAGGACCTCTGGAAGAGCATACAGTGCTCTTAACCACTGAGCCATCTCTCCAGCCCCAGCTTGAGAATTTCTATTATCATCTATATGCTTTCATCAGCATTTACTTATTCAGTAGGTAACAGTAACATAGTTCAAAGCTCAAAAGATAACAGGAATATATTATATTGTCTCATTTCACTTTTGCCTTGCATTCAGAATCCCTCTCAAGGCAACCAGGATTACTTGCTTCTTGTGACTCTTTTTAGCAGATATACTTACAGGTGTGTAAGTACATTTGCAAGGAAAATTCATGGAAAGAAAATGCTGCATCAAATAATCTGTAGTTTTAAAAACTAATTTTAAGAACCGGCAACACATACATTTATTATTCTTTGTGCTGAATGTACATGTGTGCAAGTACATATGTATGTGTGTGTGTGTGTCTACATGTGGAGGCCAGAAATGAACATCAGGTATTGTCCTCTATCACTCTTGTTTATTAAAACAGGGCCTCTCACTGAACTTGGAGCATAACAATTTGAGTAAGCTGGCTGGCCAGCCAATAAGCTTTAGATATCTGCCTATTTGGGCTCCTCTAGTCTAGGCCTGGCTTTTAAATGGATGCATCAGATCCAAAGACAAGAGTCTTAGCTTTTATAACAGGTTCTTTCTCAGCTAAACCATTTCTCCAGGTCCCAATACAAAATTCTAAAACAAAAATGTATATAGTGAGGTCTTATCACACTTTCTTTAGTATTAAATTCCTTACTACCTTCCAGAAGCAACCACTGGCTAACTTGTGTATATATATGTTTCCTCATGTCGTGTTCATCCCACCCCAACCCTGTTGAGCCTGGTGGTTATTAATCTAGCTATTAAAGTTTTGAAAGAGAAGCAGATGAAGGAATTATGGCTTTAGGGCTCTTATTTTCGTATGTGTATTCTTACAATTAACTGCTGTGGCTCCTCCAGCTTAAAAAAAAATTCTTTGTCAAAATAAGCCTCTTTCTTGTCTTTTAAATTTGGGGAATCACTCAATCACTCAAGAGAATGAAATGAGGAAACTAATGGAAATACCTTACTGCTCCTTAAAAAGACTTAAACTAACACATTAGTCTTCCACCTCTATCCACATCAATGCACTTACCATTCTAGTTCCCACTATATCAAGTACTGCCAGTTTCTGTGTGCTTTGAAGGCTATAATTTATTCAGACTAGTTTTATTGCCCCTTCCCCCCCCCCCCCCCGCTGGTTTAGCCACTGCTCTTTAGAGTTCATTATTCAACTATTAATATTTCCAAGGTCTGGGCTGGAGAGATGGCTCAGTGGTTAAGAGCACCGACTGCTCTTCCAGAGGTCTTGAGTTCAATTCCCAGCAACCACATGGTGGCTCACAACCATCTGTAATTGGATCTGATGCCCACTTCTGGTGTGTCTGATGTCAGCAACAGTGTACTCATATAAATAAAATAAATCTTAAAAAAAAAAATATTTCCAAGGTCTCTTTCCCAGTGACTTTGTCCCTCACCTGGCAAAAGCCAGGTTGGGGGTGCATGACTATAATCTCGGGATTTGAAAGACAGAAAGGAGAATCACTGCAAATTGAGACCAGCCTCGGCAAGACCCTATCTCAAAAACAAAACAAACAAAAACAAAACTAAACACAAAACAAAAAAGAAAAAAACAAAGAACTCTTTTCTGTAATTTTAATGGGATTTCAGAACACAGTACAATTAGACACGTTTTTAAGTTAATATCAACCTGAGAAGCTCTTCTAGATTAACCTGGGATTTTAAAGGAAAACTTGCCTCTTCTCCAGACTTCATTATGAACTTGTTCTATTGCTTCAGTAACACCGAAAATGTCCCATATGCTAAAAGCTCAAAGCAACTGGTATCTCACACCCCCCCCCCCTTCTTTTAGATAAGGGAGGACTGAAGCCTGCCTGGCTCAGCCTCAGAGTCTTCCACAGCAGATGGAAACACTGCACCGACCCGGTAGAAGCAAGGTGACGACTGATGACACAAAACAAATATAGCTAATTCGGTACGGGGTTCAAACGTCGTGGACAATCAAGCGTACAGTTTTGGGGGGGAGGGGCTACTTATACTCACAAGATAGTATTTTATGGTCGTAGCTTCCACAAAGCTCCCAAAACACCACGGCCACCGGACTTCCAGTTAAAAAAAAATAAACATTTACTCATTGTCTGTTAAGTCTGCAGCACTACCTAGGCTGTCACCGCGCGAACAAAGTTGTGAATTCTAGTATTGCCGGGGTCGACCCACCAAACGATCAAAAAAATCCAAACCCGAGGTTAGAGGTCGACAGGAACCGTCGTTTATTCGCTCAACGAACGCGCTTGTCCCGGGCCGGGCAGCCGCCTGGGTGGCGAACCTCACGTCTGGGAGAAGACTTAGCTGCCGTCACCACCGACAGCTCACGACAGTCGCCGCGGCCCG